CGCTCTGGACCGTACTTCCAAGCTCCAAGGCGATCCTCCCAATCCTCTCGCAGCTGGCACCAGAGAACTCGTACCTCCTCCGCGCGTCTTTTGATGAAGCTGCAGTGGCGACGTATGTTGGTGGCTACGTAGCCAAGCCCGTGATGGGCCGCACGGGTGCGAACGTCTCTATTTATGACGCCGAGCACCAGCTCATTAGCGCGACGGCCGGCAAATGGGACCAAGACACAATCGTGTATCAAGAAATCGCGCTTCTCCCTCAGTACGAAGACGGCAAGTACGTGCAGGTCAACACCTGGGCCATTGACGGCAAATACGGCGGCACTGTGCTCCGGATTGACGAGTCCAACATCATCGGGCTCAGCTCCGGCATTCACGCCATGCGAGTTGTGGCAGACGAAGTCGTCGCCTAAGCGATCCGCCTGAAGTTGCAGCGATCAAGAACCACCGCAACAAACTTCTATATCAACACATAATGATGCCCACTACTTATTTAGTAATGAATAATTATGCATGAACATATTGCTGCAATTAGTGCAAGTATGAACGTCTTGACCGGGGTGCACGAGAGGCAGGAAATCTCAAAATCTTGTCTATCAAAACTTCAATGCATACGATACAATGTAATAGTGCTAGTCAAACAGGAACACTAGTACTCGTGTTACCAAGACTGTTCATGCATCAAGACGAACAATCTTCTTCGCTCGCTCACCAAGCCGTGGCTGCGCATGCGGCGGTGGGGACTCGTCTTGCTCATATCTGATCGCCTGGGGGCACTTGCGTCCCCGCGGAGGTGAACCTCATAACGACGCGCTCCGTGAGGTCTTTTCACGCTTTGCGATTTTCGGAAAGAGGATGCCAACGAGTCTGGCGGGCCTTGACAGCTGCCATCGCCGGCAGCTGCATCGTCGATATCTTTCACGCGAGCACGTTCACCGACGTCGCGTTGAAGCACTGCGACACCATACCGCTGAGCGAGATCATTGCCCGCCAGCGCTGGCGCCTGCTGGGCCACGTGCTGCGCCTGAAGAAAGACGTCCTTGTCAATGTTGCCGCTGCCCGCATCTTTGCCCCACCCGAGGCGTCCCGTCTTTTTAAGCCGCACCAAGATCACGTTGCCGATCGTTCGGCACCGCGACCTCCAGTCGTTGACGCCGCCTCAGTCGCTGGTGTCTCTCGAGGACCTTGACGAGCTGCGCAGCTCTGCCGCCGATCGCGAAGCCTGGAAGGATTTTACAGAGCTTGTCGCCATGGCCTCGCTCACGGCCGCACGTGCACCCGGGCGACTACTGAAGAGCAGGGTGCGCCGCCGCCTGCGCAGCCACGACCAGGCTAGCGAATGAGGAAATAGCTAGTCTCTACATATGCAACGTCTTTTTAGCAACGAAGAGGACGCGAAATACCAGGTACTAGTACGCTCATACCATACAACGCGTTTGGGCGCATTTGGGCGCGTTTGGTGTTGAAGCCGACAGTACTGTACATATCCTACGTTTGGCCAATGGGTTTGGCCTAAGAATAGGTAAACAAACTCCTTTTCTCGGGCCAATTTGTCCAAATATCGTTGAGAAGTGTTGAGAAGTCCCTGAACAAGCTTGCAATTAAATCCCTCAAAACTGATGGCGTGGACCAATCGCATGTGTGGTGTCGCATGTTTTAGACCAATCGATGAACATATTGCACCTGATATTGCCTGTGGACCAGAAGTGAACTTGTCCATGCAGCGACACATCAGCTCGAACGACAGAAGCCTGGTTGACCCACGTTGCTTGTCCGATTTATCAATATGGATTACCCTGGTACAGCTCATTCCGTCCAGGATCGTACTACGGAAGTACAACAGTACGGTAAACCCATTCTTCAAAACTCCAACAAGCTAATTTGACGTTTTCAAACATCCTGACGAAAAATGCTACCGGTATGCTAGTGGGCAGCTCATCATGGCAATTTTGCCATTTGGACGAACGCACGGCAGTCAGTCGATCGTCACCCTGGAAGTGATAAGACGTTCTATCCATTTCCGAGCTGTACAGGTACGTATCGTCGACAGCCCATCGTTCGTTCGTTCTTTGTTCGCATGTTTGAGCTTGCACGAGGTAGCGCGCTGGCACACACGTGCGATCATGCCGTCACTCTGCGGGAAGAGGATCCGTGCTGACGTCAATCGAGTGCTCCCACTCGCCCTTATTTTATTATATTGGTTCTGCTATACAATCGAATCCGCTTTGAGTGGGTGCAAGTAAATGTTCGCAGAGCAGTTCAGTCGACTGCGGCTTACGGTTGAAGAAGCCATGCGGGGCAGTTCGCGGAACAGGCGCCCAGTCTCGCCACCATACAAATCACAAGTCTCGCCGACCAGGCTTTGGCAGCGATAGTTGGACAAGATAGGCAGGGTGATGCGCCAATAAATAAAAATACTTCACGCAGCGTTTGTCGAGCTCGACCCAGTAGGCATCGAAAATGTGAATGCATGGAATCAAGTACCAGACGTATACCCGGTACAGGCGGGATTTACCCTGGCGCACTAGCTGGCTCTTGCTGTTCGTAGCGCGGGTGCATTGCAAAATCCTCCCGGTCGCTGTCAATTCTTTGAAGAGACAGGTTGACACGCGACACGAATACGTGCAATTCATACAAATTGCAAGACATGCGGGGCAAACTCATATCAATTGGCACCGGACCAATCAGCTTGGGCGCGGGCACAAGTTGGAATTTGCGTGCAGATGCGCGCTTCGCTTGCGTTCAACGAGTTGCTTGTGTGACCACTGGCGCGCATCGCCCGCTTCCTCCCATTGTACCATGTACTAATATCGCTTGCTCAGTCTCTAGCAAATCGGTTGGGATATTCACTTATGCTCAAGCAATCGCCTACCGTGCCCTTTACACGAGACTGGCGGCTGTATCGCATGGATAACTCGATGCTGCAGGAACCAAGGCGAAGAACATGCGCAGGCGGCGTCTTCGCTGTCGTCTTAACACCCATCGGACCATGGCACCAGCTGGCAGTAGCCGCCGACGAAATTTACAGCTCATCGACGTCCTGCATTTGGGGTTTGTATGACCCCTGTGGCATGCAATACCTCTTATATTCGATATTGTCTGTCAAAATGCAGATATGCATTGCTGCAGGTCGCAGCTGGTCTGACTTTAGTGGGAGGAGTTTGCAATTGATTGTGGACACTCTTGATCGATGGCCGAGTTCGAGGCGCCCAAGCCGATCGAACACCGCGTCTTCTGCACGTTCGCCGCGTGCACGCAGTGCGAGGGTCCGCTCTTCCACGACAGCTACATCCGGTACGCGCCTCCAGCCGACTACCGTTGGCTTATATCGGCGTAGGACCAACAAACCCAACGGCCAAAAGGTATCAATCTAACTCTCAACTCTCATTTTCTCGCCAAATCTCACGGCTCACCACCTCTGCTTCGCACACAGGCGATTCGGTAGGTACCAATAGGTCATGTTTGCAAACAGTCTATAGAAACATTCTAGGTGCTTTCCGCACTGCTGCCCGACACACTTGACCATAAATGCTTGCGGCACGTCGCTTGCGATGCAAGTTGGCGGCAACTTCTCGCGCTTTGAGTCTATGGCATTCGAGTCCTACTGCCGTTTCGAACGTTGTCTCGAGGGCGCCCTCGACGTTGGGCAACTTGTGTCATCCGC